TAGGAAAGGTATATTTAAATTCATTTTTTTATGTTTAAATTTTTATCAATATGTACTCAACGTTACTTCTTTTTTTCTTTTTATTTTACTAACTGAAAGATTATTTTAAATATAAATATTCAAGAAAATTAAAATAAGGGAGCGAAATATTTATTTTTGCATACTACATCTCTAAAATGCATACTAAATCCTAAATAAATGTATTTAACCTTTTGTAGACGGATGGCCAATATATTGGCAGTTGTATTCCCTGTTTGAATGGACTTGTGTTGTCCACTTTAATGGCCATGTCTTTTTCCCCCATTTTACAGGCTGAAAAGTATGGTGAAATGTCAAATTTGACGTCCCTGGGTTTCAACCACTTATCTCTTTCAAAGATCTCCCTTTTGCGACATAGATGCACCCCTCTGAGAATCCATTAAACTACACACAAGAATCTTTGTTGCAAATAGGAGGTGATTTCTTAAAGGGGGAAAGCATTCGGTTCAAGATTTCCCATCTTTTGGTAGCTTTTACTGCTACCAAAGCCCCGGCCTCAAAAGGTTAAATTAAATGTTAATGCGATTCTTATGCTTATTATTCTTATTCTTATGAAATTTGCAATTATATAATTACAACCAGCAAAAACAACCAAATTAGACAGTACAATTTAGACATTCAAAAATATACTTTTTCACTAAATTGTATTAGTTTTTATAACCAAATGTAATATAAAATTTATGTTTTCGTATATATTACCACAACTTGATTATTCATATTTATATCTAAAGGCAGACTGCAACTTGGGTATTGTTACTGTGTCACTCAAATATACAGGATTGGACTTAACACCAACATGGACCAGGCTTCTGCTAATCTGAAGATGAGAAGCCAATGATATGCAGTAGGAGTATCTTTGAGGGTGTCCCTTGGATTATTGTTGTTTCATTTATCTCCAAGGTATTGTTTCATTTATGGTAGCCTGAATAGTCGAGTGTTACGGGAACCCTATTATGACGTAATTAGTTGTGTGATTGCAGTGAATTTGACCGATGAGAAATTACTTGTAAGGGCTTGTTTGTGTCTTGGATGTTGGTTAGGAAGTGTGTTAATTATTTTGTGGTTTACATGTTAAAATGGCTGAATGTGGCAAGATTAATTCAAAGTTTCTGTACAATTTGGAACAAAAGGGAAAAAAAGCATTAACTCTTTCGCATCGAGAGAGGACAAAATCTCAATTTCCCAAACATCGAAAACGCCCGTATCTAAGAATTTCTCCTGGAATGCTTTTCCTACCCCCATGACAAGTTGAATACTACAGCGCTAACAATAGCCTTACTTAAGTAAAGCGAGAACTTCTTTCTTCGACGCTTTGACACTGGGATTGCAACTTCGGGCATCAAAAGCTAAACACTGACAGTAAGCAAAGGAAAGGAAGGAACAAAGGAAACAAGGAAATTGACAACAAAGAATGATTGACGTGTGATTTAACAACACCTGAAAGCAATGAGTAATGCAGTAACGTGATGGGGGAAAGCACTGGGTAGGAAATTATTCAGGCGTTTCGGGCGTCGAGCCGATGTCTGAATGCTAGGGCGCTTTGGGCGACTTCGATGCGAAAGAGTTAACTGACTGGTTTACTTAGTAGCCATTATAAGCGACCTATTTGTATGAAGGAAATGTGCATGTCTGAGGATACTGGCACTACAGAGGATATTTTTTTCTACAGAGGAATTTATGTGGCGACGCCAGTATACAGATTCTAGTTTAGATAATTTTAGGAAGTTTTTGGATGCTGTTAAGGAATTTTGTTTGCCTGAAGAGAGGAAAATTTCTAAATACGGATAAATGGATATTTGCTTTGTGTAGCCCTGAGATGAATTTCCTTTCTTGGTACTATTCTGTTTTGAGAACCATAAAAAATTGCAGTGAAAATGTATGCACAAAAGCACCAAATCTAGCAAATGCACCCATTTAACAGTGCACCAAATCTAGTGTACGGGCTGATTTCAAATTGCGCAAGTTTAGATAGTTCTATATTTCTTAAGATGCCATTGAAATACTAGTTTAATTTTTAAATCCTTTTTTGAACATCCTATGGATTTAACAATTTGGGAATTGCCCATGAGAAAAGGTTTGCAATAGAATTTTTTCAAAGAAAAGGCATCATTTATTACAGAAAATTATATTTGAACAACCAACGAGATGAAATTATGCTTTAGCAATAACTCGTTAGCGAAATAGCGATGCAGGAATCATTCAGTTACGATTAGCCTTTTTTTATATAAATTATAATAATGATCTGAAATAGTTATTTACGCTTATGCTTACATTCAGTTATGTTTAGTTTTTTTATATAGATTATAATAATAAAAAAGTATTATATGAAATTAACCTTTCAATTTTACTATTACTTTCTTGCGTTAGGGTTGTCGCAATTATTTTTGACAGCACAGGCATTAACAATAGTTTGGCGACTTTTTACAGTCCTCAAAACGGAATAGTACCCCTTTTTAATGTTAGTTGACTGTTTGATTTAAAATGTAGTTTATTGAGATTATATATTATTTTTGGCTCTAGTATAGAATTGGCTGCTTCTTTGACTTTTTAAGAGAAAATAGATCGATGTGTACATGGACAAAGTAAAGGAGTGTGCAATTTTCTAATGCTTTTTTAAGTAAAAATAGGTTGATGCGTACATGGATACCCAGTTTGTGTAATTCTTTGATTTGTTATTTTGGCTTTAAATAGGTTGATGCGTACATGGACACCCAGTTTGTGTAATTCTTTGATTTGTTATTTTGGCTTTGTGTAGCAGTGATTTTTGCTGCACAAACTCGGTGTCTACGTACCGCTAAAAATCGGCAGTTTCCACCAGGGGCGTAGCTAGAGGGGAACATCTGTCCCCGGGTGCAGAATCCAAGGGGCGAAAAACTGATGTTACAACATTTTAGAATTAAATGTTTTCCATCCTTGGCAAGCAGTAGGGGGCACGAAATCTTCAGTTGTCCCTGGGCGCTGAAAACCCTAGCTACGACTCTGGTTTTCACCAAAGGGCATCTGTAAATATATTTTTACTGTAGTAGGGTTATCTGGATGGCTAAAGTGCAGAATCGCCTACTTATTTGTTTGGCACTTTTTACAAGAGTAAGAAGAATTGGATTTTTGTCAATTTTTTTTTTTACTTTTTAAGTGAAAATAGGTCAATGCGTACATGGATAAAGTCAAAGGAGTGCACAATGCCATTTTTGTGCAATTCTGGGATTTTTTTTAAGTGAAAATAGGTTCATGTGTACATGGATACCAAGTATGTGCAATTCTTAAAAATGCACCAAGCATATTGGGCGATTCTGCACTTTCCCCATCTGGATTATTAAATGAGAATCTAAGAGACGCAGACCCAAACCAGTTGCTGAAAAAAAAAAAAAATCAAGAATCTTTTGTCACCTTTCTCCACAATAATTAATTTAATCAAACGGAGCTAATGTTACATTTCAGTGCCTTATAGAAAATTCACTTTACTCCCATTAACTGTCTCCAGTACTTTTCAATTAAAAAATTAAAACATGCATGGAAATTTTTACGATTTTCAATTTCCATTACTGTAACACTTTTCTTCATTAAACTTTTTAATATCCCATAGTAGTTCTTCCAGTATGTCAAAATGTTCAATTGACAGGCCATTTTTTTTTTAATTTACTCTCAAGAATTGGGTGCCCCTTTGATTAGCGACATTTTTTTTTTTTTAAATTTTGGCGATGAAACCTCACTTCTGGTTACCACGATAGTTTTAACTTTGTTTTAGCTTCCGATTTTATTTAAATGAAAATAGATTGATGTGTACATGGACATATTTAAAGCAGTGTGCAAATGCCTAGGTTGTGCAGTTCTAGCATGTTTTTTTAAGTAAAAACAGATCGATGTGTACATGGACACAGATTTTGTGCAATTATTTGACTTCTTATTTTGATTTTGTGTAGCAGACATCTTGAAATTGTGCCCTCTTGGCGCCGATCTTCGCGTCAAAAAAGAATCGCTAATAAACATGGGGCACCCAATTGTAAACTTTTACCAAAATAAGTCACAACTACCTTACTAGGTTAGAGAAGAAATGAATTCGTGTTTCTAATGCACAGAATAAAACAGATCAGTAGTAATCTTAAAATTGTAAACAAAATAATATTGTCATCCCAAATAGAAAATAAATTCAAACGCTACATACAATACTAAAAATGACGTTTATAATATAATAGATAATTTAGAGGTAAAAGTTTTTGGATATTTTATTTATTTTATACGTGGAAATGTTCATATTTGGAAAGGGTATATACTTTTTCGTTATTAGGTAATTTCATATATGTTTTTTTTAACGGGTTTAAAGATTCAGAAAATTGTCGTGTATTTTCGTGAAATTTTTCTAATTTATGAGAAAAAAGCAGTGTACATGGATATAGTGAAGAGTATGCGCAATGCCATTTTTGTGTAATTCTGGGATGTTTTTTAAAGTAAAAATAAGTCAACGTGTACATGGTTTATGTGTATGTGTTATTTTGAAAAACGCGTGAGGAGTATGGTATTGTGCACTTTTTTCCAATTTTGAAGTGAATATTTGTCATGATTAAGCAGTTTTGTTAGATAAAATTTCTAGCATAAGTGTAATTCGGCTAGTAGATTTTTGGAAGAAGTGTTCAGTAGATAAAAAGAAAAGAAACATGTCTTTACTTCGTGAAGACAAAATGGCGGCGGGAAAAAAAATACAGGGTTGCTGTAGGAGAGTTGGTCGCCAAAGTTTCACCAAAAAATCGCCAAGTTACCATAATCTAAAGATCAACCCATTATTCTAATAAAAAGGAAAATTTTGAAATACACAGTTGTATAGCAATTAAAATTCTATCATAGTGATGAATTAAAGCAGTTGCGCAGTAAAAATACCAGAATTTATACGTAAAGAAAGAATATTTTTTTTAATTTAAAAATTAAATTTATAAAAAAATATTGTGTGCCGGCTGGCATTAACTTACCTTTCCTTGACATATCCCTCTTTTTCTTCCTCCTTCTAGGTTCTTTGTCTGCCATAGTTTTCTTTCGTTTATAGTACACTATAATAAAAAACTGCAATTATTAATACTAATCTCAATATCTATTTCATCATAAAAAAAGCATCTTAGCTACAATGAGATTCGGAAAGTAAATTCTTGAAAGACATCTTCTTCAGTTCAATTTGTTTTTCATCAAAATGTATTATGAGTTACTTTTCTGATACATTCTCAAAATTCGTAAAATTTGGACATTGTTTAGTTATAATGTTGATATTTTATAATTATTTGAATATTATATTAATAATTATTTGCATAATTTTTTAAATTATTCAATTAATATTAATAATTATTAATTAATAATGTTAATAATTCAAATAATTATATATTAATAATTATTTGAAAATTATTAAGTGTAAAAATAACACATTATATTTTCCACGCTTATTAAACTGGAGACGTTCGTGGAATTATACAGCGATATGGCAACAATGCCGATTGTTTTTTTTCGTTTCCGCGGTTTTTTTCACGCAGAATTTGGAATAGAAGTTCGTTAGAGATACAGAATGTCTGATTCTGATGAAAAATTTGAAATAAATAAAAAATTATATACAGATGCTTACTATAGGCTTTTAAAGTGTAAGAAAGAGAATGATATTTCAAATGCCCCTGTTGTTCTTCGTAATCTTTTCAGGCAAGCAAATTTTCACTGTGCACAACTGAATATTTCAGGAACTGGTTCAAGTAAATTTAAAACTGAGATACTTGAAGAATATACTAGTATCATAGACAGCGAAAATCATGAAGGTTTATTATCTATAGTATCAGATCTTAATATAAATGGGAATGATTCTTTTTCATGTGAAGAACCAAGTAAAAATATCGAAAATATGAAGAACAGTTTAAAGAAATTCGAATACTATATAGCAGTTCATAATTTAAAAAATTTACCCAAGTCTCCAAACAGTGAATTTATAAAAGGTCATGTTCAGAACTATTCGAATTCAAATTACTGTATTAAAAATTCCATTCCTTTGAATTCTAGAAATCATGTGAAAGGTTTTGGGCCTGTTAAGTCTGATAATCATATCAATAAAACTGAATTTTTGGAAGAGTATGTTCCTAAACCTTGCATGTCAGCAGCTCCTGGTTTACTACGGAAGAGATCTGTAGTTGAAAGTGATGAATCAGAACATATTCTGAAAAGAAACAAAAGTAATTTTATTAACAAGAAAAAACCATATTCTCATCCATCTGTTCCAGATAGAACTAATCAACAGTCAATTTCTGGACCTAGTTTTGTTTCTGCTAGCTCAATGTATCGTAATCCTTTAAAGAAAGCAGATAAGGATTATCAAGAAAAGAATCCAGAGACATCAGAAAAGGAGAATCCTGAACAGAGCCAACATGAATCATTGAAACATTTTGACAAAAAGATTGTTGATGTTATTTTTAATGAAATTATGGATTTTAGCCCAAATGTTAAATGGAATGATATTGCTGGTCTAGATTTTGTTAAAACTACTATACAAGAAATTGTAATTTGGCCTTTACTTAGACCAGATATTTTTACTGGCTTAAGGGCACCTCCAAGGGGTATACTTTTATTTGGACCTCCAGGTACAGGTAAAACTCTTATAGGTAAATGTATTGCAACAGAATCAAATTCAACCTTTTTTTGTATTAGTGCTTCTTCCTTGGCATCAAAATGGGTAGGTGAAAGTGAACAGCTTGTACGAGCGTTATTCTCTGTAGCTCGCCTCAATCAGCCAGCTGTAATTTTTGTTGATGAGATAGACTCACTACTATCTCAAAGAAGTGATAAAGACCAGGATTTCACACGAAAGCTTAAAACAGAATTCCTTGTGCAGTTTGACGGTGCAAAAACAAATTCTGAAGAGAGGGTCCTTGTTATTGGAGCCACTAATCGTCCTCATGAATTGGACGAAGCGGCAAGACGTCGATTTGTAAAAAGACTTTTTGTACCTTTACCTGAAACATCAGCTCGTCGACAAATTATGGAGAAACTGTTATCTGCTCACCAACATAGTCTGACTGATAGTGACTTTGATACAGTATGTGATAAAACCAAAGGATATTCCGGCTCAGATGTAGCACATTTATGTAAAGAAGCTGCAATGGGCCCAATCAGAAGCATTGGACCTGAAAATATTAAAACTGTTTCCCTTGAGCAAGTGAGGTCAATAAATTTAACTGATTTTTATGATGCTTTAAAGCAAGTTAGAGCTAGTGTTGTTCAAGATGATCTTAATTACTATATTGAATGGAATAAAAAGTTTGGTAGTTTTGGAACTTAATTTATAGTACTCAATAGTAACTATAGGAGCTAAACATGATACATCATTTCAATGCAAGAGAAAAATTATTTGCAAAATATTCGTATTTTTCTACCAAGAAATGTTTGCTTAATCAAGTTAAACCTCAATAACTTATTTAAATCTAAAAACTGATTGCTTTCATTTTAAATGCCAGTTCATCCAGTGTGTGATTGTTTAAACTGGGTAACTAATAATTTCTTCCAGATATTGAATTGCTTATCTTATAAAGCAGTAACAAGGTACACTTTTGAAGTTGTTTTTTTCTTTGTGGTATTTAAAAAAAAAGTTTCTATAAATAAAATATTTAATTTTAAATACATCTGTATCTTTTGAAAGTATGAGATTGTTGATTGCAAAGGATCTCATGTTTCAGTATTTCCTTTTCATCCATATTGTGCATAAATGTTATTCTGTTTTTCTTTTGTACCAGGTCTATCATAAGAGTTTGTATTGTAAACCAATTTTGATCTCTCTCACTTTGGGTACTTAATTATTCCTTTCATCATTGTATGATTTTCTTCACTTTTATTAAGTATTTAGGTATAGAAATAAATTTTTCAGTAATAATTTCCCTCTTAGGAACAAGTAGTAATTTGGTGGAACTAATGAATTTTGTGAATAGAAAATATATATAAAAATCTAGTTATGGATTGAATTTTATAACTTTTGAATATTTTTACAAAAATATTAATTTTTTGGATTAGGACATTAGTTTTATGTTTTTGATGCCTGTGCATAAATCTTACATTGTTATGCTTACATATCATAAGATTTTGTCAGATGGATATCATATAGTTTAAGCTATGCATTTTTTGTATTTGTAAACTTAATCTTTTATGCAGTAATTGTTCCAAATAGCATAAAAACAGAACTCTTACTTTCTAATCATAACTTACTGAAAACTTTTTATGTGACATACATCAAATAAAATAATGTCATGTTTTTTAATATAATTCTTATTATGTACACTGCTGACCACCCAAATTGCAACACCAAGAAAGACAAGAGATATCACAACAAAATTTATTTACTAGATAACATGTTGACCAAGTATCAAATGATTAAATTTAGAGACTTCTGTGAAGTGTGGTTCCTTCCAGAATCAGTAGCCGCCATTGTTGGAGATCATCGCTGCCACACGCTTCAGCATTGATTCAAAGAGACTTTGAATGTGTTCTTGGGATACAGCAGATCAAGCAGCTTCCACACATTGCCAAAGTTGATCTGGTGTGGCAGCTTGGGATGTAATCTGGGTCAATCGTTCAGCAACCATGGACCACATGTTTTCTACCACATACTGAAATTTTTCCACCAAATATTAGAGCCCTGCATTTTATTTAAAGAAATTAAATAATGAAGAATCTGCATGAATGTATGTACGGTTCTTACACTGTGAATAAACAACGGTACCTAGAGACATCAACTTTTGAATAAAGAAGTTCTCCACTCACTTATAGGCATCTAGAAGTATAAATTAGGAATTTGTTTTATTATCTATTTTATATTGTGTAAAACTTTAATAAATTTTTATTTAAAACAAACTCGATGATTTCAAAGCGTTCCATTAACATTAGCATCACGTACATCTTTAAGCACGAATATTTTATGCACAAGGTTTCTTTACATTTCTTATTGGTATTATGTTGGTAGGATAGCAATACAAAGATGTCTAATGGTATTATGCATCGAATGACTTTGAATGTCTGTATCACTTTTTAAATCTGGTTTTGAATCACCTGTGAAAAAAATCTGATTGTACACCACATGGCTTTCTTGTACAGAATATTAAATTATACGCATTTTTTCCTGCATTTTATTTAAACTTATTTCTTTGAATTTCTTTACAGATGTATTTCTCATTCAATTAAATCAGTTCTCACTTCACAATAAGGCAAAAAATACATAAAACCTCAAAATATCTTTATTAAACATTAAAATATGTAAAACGCCAAATACAGTTAAAACAATTTAAATATATATATAATTTAATATATATCTGAGGCTACTCGTTTTTGAGCTATGCGATATACATACATATGTACATACAGACATCACAAAAAAAATCTCTTCTGAATCCATTTTAAATCTTTTGTAACCCTTTCAGAAAAAATAGTCATTTATTCAGTTCTATGTACAGATGTCAAGTAAAAATATCATTAAATTGCATTCGATAGCAGTCAAAATGGATATTTTCTTTGATGGTTTGGTTTATTTAATTATGGCAAAGCACACTAGGGCTATCTGCCTAAGGGAGGGAGGGCTTTCTAAGGGAAACTGGCTCGTATATACGTTATACATGGGAAAAATGCCCATGCAGCCAGCCCGTTCGTGGGATTCGAACCTCGGACCGAACTATCAGTGTTCAGCGACTTTACCGCTCGGCGGCTAGTGGGCTCAATATTTTCGTTGAAATAAGATACTCGAAAATTTTCGTAGTTACAATACTTTCTTTACTTCATACCAGGAAGTAAAAAACATCCCTTTCAGCATAATATAAAATCTGAAAGCTTTCAGATTTTTACTTTTTTGTGTGTGCTCTGGACATTCTCTTTTTGATTTTATCTAAAGAGCAGTCATGCTTTTAATAGCTTCCTGCCCTTCTCCAGATAAGTAAAAGTCATTTGCACCTCATTCCATGAAGGATTCATTTCTATTCCTTCACAATCTTAGCAGAAAGCCCGATGAGCAACTTGAAGCCATTTCTACCTCATTCAATGAAGGATTCATTTATATTGTGTAAAACAAACTTAGCCTGATTTCCTCTGGGTTTCCTTGTTTTGAGAAGAAAAGTCTACCTCAGCAGTTTTACCTGCAAAAGGTCCACCCAGTATTGCCTGTTGCTGGGTAAGGCAAAATACTCTAAAAATTGCCAAGCACCCTAGAGGTTCTGTTAGGGCACTATAACCGCAGGGTCATTCACCCTAGGCATGGGTCACAGAACATTGGAGTTACGGAAGGGGATTCACAGCTTTTTATTTATCATTCAATGCTATCCTGTCACATAATACAGGACATTTGACTATCCATCACCTGCCAACATGCCTGGTAGCCACTCAAGCCCCAGGTACTAGGCTTTTTTTTTTTTTTTTTTTTTTTTTTTTTTTTTTTTTTTTTTTTTGGGCTGGCGCAAACACTGCAATTCCTAGATTCTGATGCCCAGTGATTTACTAAATTTTGCCACCTGATGTAACTGCACACGCTCTACATTGCTGTCCTTGGCTGTGTGTGCCTTTGAAAATTTTTCGAGGTTAAAGGGATTTTGAGTTTTTAGATTTGGTACTATTATACTACTAGTATATGTCATCAAAAATATGATGCTTAGTCTAATTGTTATAATTCTAGAGCAATCTTTCTGCAATGAAGGCAGACAAACGCTCACTGTAAGAAATAGGTTTACGTGGAAGTGGCAGGTCTCAAAGTGCACTTTTAGCTTTATGATACAATGCTGGACTCTCGATCAACATCCATTCCATTTGGGTATTTTTGCAGCTGAACGATTTTTATCACTATTTTAAATTAATTAGTGTTAAAAAAAATCACAAAATATATTCATGATGTACAGATGCAACAAAATATCTCATGAAAAAAAACATTACTAGATTTTAATTTCTGATAAATTTTAGACTGGCAATGCAATCCATAACAAGTTAATGACAAGGAACACAAATTAATAATGTTTAAGTTTTAAACTAAAAATATAAGTTTTATCAAAATTTGAATAAAATTATTTAATCAAATACATAATAGAAATTTAAGTAACTACAACATGTAAAAATAATTCATAATAAATTTTAATTATGAATTTTTGACTATTCTGAAATTGTTTTTCTTAAATTTTAATATATTTAATAGTTTTTTTTTAATTTGTTATTTTTCTTTTCTTTAAAGTCTGCTTTGAAGAACTACTTTATTTTCTTTGTGACATTTCTCCAAGTGCAATCAGTCCTAAGCGCAGCATGCTAGACACTGAATAATTTTTAAATCCTTATCTTCATTAAGCATTTAAAAATTTCCTAATCAGCTACTATCTATGTCCAACTTTAAAACTCTGGATGATTCTTTGATCAAGAGGTTATAACTTTGTTTGTCAAGACAAACATTTTACACGGTTCGTACACATTTCTGCACATGGAAATTAAGTACTTTTAAGGACCATTCATGAAAACATTAAGGACCTAAAGCAAAGGAACTGAATAAATTCATAAATATTATCTATGCTGAACTTCACTTTTTAATATCACCTAAAAAAAATAGATCCATAGTAGGATGCATTAGTATTAAATATGATTATAGTAAGTTTGAGAATAAAATAAAGTTTATGAAATTTATCATTAAATATTTTTACCTCTACTAACTGGACATATTGAAAGATATGATGACATTTTTTTTTAGGTTTTTAACTAACAGCTTTTTTTTTTTTTTTTTTTTTTTTTTTTTTTTTAATGTCTCATTTTGTCACATTGCTCACTCTACGGTTTAGTAAATAGTAAGTAGATTTTTCAAGTACATGGTTAAAGTGAAGTAAAATCACATCAGCGTGATTCAAAACAAAAGACTGGCTGTTGTCGCCGCTCCTGCTTGTCTAGGAGAGACCTGATGATCAGAACAAGCCTTAAGGCCTGATGTAAGCACGGTTCGCAATTTTGAAATTTAGCTGAGGTCTGTCTGACGCAGTTAGTTTCGTAGCTTCTTGTAGAGTTCCAGGGATTGTAACTCAGTTAATATAGATTAAGGCCCTAATAATCCACTAAAGCACCAGAGGTGACAAGTTGTTTTGCACTATTTTAAGTCTCACTAGATGCAAAGAATAGGTTTTACATGAATTTTTACAATTTTGTTTTAACTTGTGACCACGATAAGGGTTAATGAAGGCAATAACTCGCTTTAAAAATGCAGAGATAATCTTTAAAGGAACCAATTATAAGTAATTAAATTGAGTCTTAGATACCTTAGTCTTTGAATTTCATGGCCACTAATTAAATTTTTAACATTATTTTGTTAAAGCCTTATTAACACAATCTAATAAATTTCACAGTTTAAAAATACATGTAATTTATGGCATTGATTCTTAAATATTAGGATAATTACACATTAAAAGCTACAAAATATTTATATTTTGTAGCAACAACACTCAAAAAGATATTTATGAGTCTTTTTAATTTGAAGCCTTCCCAGACATTTTGGCAAATTTATATCAATTTCCTTCTCTTTAAGCATCTTTTCTAACAGTTAGAACTTTGTCTCTATACGCAAGACGGTGTTCTCACTAGTTTCTACGTTTCGTATCTCCTAACCTGTCACCTCTCCAAAATGTACCTATGAGGGTTTACTTGATCTGGTAAAAGTTAAATAGTCTAAACCCTCCGGACAGATGTGAAGCAATTATCGCTACATCTGAAAGTAACTACAAAGATTTAAATAGCTTCTTTTAAAATCATTACAGCTCATGGTATGTAATTAAACAAGAAGAATCAAATGCAAACTAAAAATATGGACTAGTCATCAAAGACTATACAATTTAATTTCATTTTAAGCTGACTCAGTAACTCTATTGTCATAACAAATTCAAATGTCGACGGTGGTAATGTAAAGACGAATAAATGCAAATTATCAGGACTGGCAGGAACTAATGCAGGGAGCAAGTGGAAGTCAGAAACTCGTTCTTGTCTTACACTCCAAAAACATCAGTTTAAAACTGTTTAAGTGATTTGCATTCTGTTGAGAAAATAGAAATGAGAAATTATAGTAAAGGCTGAAATTGTAAACAACTGGGTAATTTACATAATAATATCTGTACATATCTTTGAAGTATAATTTTCCTTTCTCTTAATGTATTCAGTTTTTTCTTCCACGTTTCCTTTTCATTTTAATTTTGGATTTTTAAAGAGATTTGTTATTCTAAAAATACTAAATTCATTTAGAATGTATGAGAAAGCTGCCATTTTATAGTAATAGGAACATTCAGAAGAAATATGTATGGTAAGGTCCGGTTACAGAGCTGGTGTGGCAACATTTTTTTAATTTATACACACATTGAACAATAA